AGCGCTTTTCCTAGTAGGTGAGTTAAAACTTTAATCCTCCAGTAAGACATAGGGGTTGTAGAAGTTAAGGTAAACACAAAGGTGTTGAGAATTTATTCTTTCCTGCTATCTTCTGCCTTGCTTGACAATGTGTCTTAGGCAGTAACGAAATAAAATGCAAAGTTGGCAAAGGACACTGCCATCCCCTCCTCCTTCCTCTGTTAACACACAGCTCCAGGAAGCAAGTAGGTAAATCCCATCATTGTTTCTGTCTCTGTCTCAGGAAGCTGAGACTCAGACTGATGAACCTGTCTGTTTAAGTTTATAGCTTGGTCAGGACTGGGATACAAGCTCCCTGACTCTACCTTCTATCCTTTCTCCAAGGACATACCTTCAGAGAAGTGGGAAGAAAAACGACTGGAGGTGGCTAGGAGGGAGTTGGCACAGCTTTGATATTCTTTCAGAGCCTCAGTCATCCTTGCTGTCTGGTCCCCATCATATTCTTCTTACCATATTCCCTACCATCTCCAGCAGCTGTGCCTCCTCTGCCCTGCTGTGCTTACTGCCTCAGCCAAGGTCAGCGATGCAACCATCCCTCTTCCTGTTCCATCCACTCATATCAAGTCCTCTGGTCTGTTCATACTGGACTTCTGTATTAATTTGGGTTTTACTGTATGAGATACCACAACCGTGGCAATTCTTATAAAGGAAAACATTAAACTGCAGTTGGCTTACAGTTCAGAGGTTTAGTCCGTTGTCATTATGGTGGGAAGCGTGGTCCACAGGCAGACACGGTCCTGGAGACGTAACTGGGAGTTCTACATCCAAGTCAGCAGGCAGAAGGGAGGAAGACACACTGGGCTGGCTTGAGCATTTGAAACCTCAAAGCCCACCCCAGTGACACACCTCCTCCAACAAGGCACACCTCCTCCAACAAGGCCACACCTCCTCCAACAAGGCCACACCTCCTCCAACAAGGCCACACCTCCAAATAGTGCCACTCTCTATAAACCAATGGGGGCCATTTTCATTCAAGCCACACAGCTTCCTTACAAATAAAAGCTGAACCTTTTTACTCCAAACTTAATTTTCTTTTTGCAATGCGAAAACAACAACAACGACGACAAATACCCAAACCCAAAACAAACAAACAAAAAGCATATTGGCCCGAACAAGCCAGAGAGAAAATAAAGGTCAGTGGAAACTAAATCATAATCCTTCTTGCCCCTGGCTCACTGAGATGCAGATAAAGCATTTGTATGAAAGTATATTACAGTCACTTTGCTACTCCTTTAGTTCCTAATCTGTATGTAGGTAGCACAAATCTGCTTAGTGTGGAGGGACACTATGTTCTTATTGAGGTCCTGCACCCCTTATAAGCATATTAATAATGCTGGAACTAATCATGTTGAGGGAGATATTTGGAAGATATTTGAATACATATTATGACAACTCACTCTGAGACAATGTAATCAAAAAGTCAGGACATCGGAAACTGATAAATTAGGGGACAAGTGATCACTAGTCCAAAAGTCTTTCCTACCCAACGAAGGCTTTCTTACCCAACAAACACAGTAATGGTGGAATTCCTTTGATTTGCTGGAGTACTGAAAATAATTTTACTGAGACACGAAATTTCTAGGGTTATTCTAAAAGAGATTACTCCTGCATTTTGAAGACTGTTTTTATATTTTCCCACCTTCAGCTTCTCTAGGCACAAACCACTGGATTATTGTGAATGAAAAAAAGAAAGAAAGAAAGAAAGAAAGAAAGAAAGAAAGAAAGAAAGGAAGAAAGAAAGAAAGAAAGGTCTTTGAAGCATTTTGATTGGCTATCTGCCAGCAGAGGCTGGAATCTGGCAAGCAGGCACCATGAGTCTTGCATGGACAGTTTAAATATCTGGTTCCATGTCCAGTGGGCAGGACCTGGCAACCTCCTGAGCCTCCTGCCAACTTCAAGGTGCCACAGTTTATGAGGTAGAAAGAACACAGTGTATTTTAAAAGAAAGAAGAAAGAAAAATTCTAAAAAAGTTTAGAAAGGTTGTGGGGGGAAAAGTCAAGGGAAAACATACATGTTCTGGTCTATAATGAGTTTTGTTTCTGGATCCTGGCCCTCCCCGTTTCTCCATCATAGAATTACCTAATTTGTTCAGGAAGTTGAACAAAATGTCACCTAAGCAAAGGACAGATCAAACTTTAGAAGTTACTTGTGGTAAGAGAGCAGAAGGGACTAAGAAGGACCAGCCAGCTGGGAGGGGGCCTGGTAGAGACCTGAGAGGGGCTAGAACAAAGCATACGGCAAACATGTACGTCTGAAACATCATGATGAAACCACTAATTTGTACGCTAACTAAAACATCTACTAATATCAATAGCTACCTCGGATGACCGTATCCATGTTAAAGGCCAAGGTAATAATTTGCTTAAATGTTATTGAGATTGGAGCTTTGCAGAAGGGCAGTTATTTCCTCAAGGCTTGAAACCCAATTCTTAGAAGAGAGCAGAGGCAATCATCTTTGTGGCTTTGGGCTAGGCAGAGATTCCTTAAACAGGGCATAAACGCTAAGCATTAGAGATAAGACTGGTAAGTCAGGCTGATTGAAAATTAAGAAACTCTTCTAGTCTGATAATAACAGTGAGCTATAAGTCAGCTACAGGTTGAGAGAAGAGTTTTGGAATAGATATAAGAAATGAGTTATATCCGGAATATGTGAAGAACTGAATACAGTTCAAACAGGCCAAAGACACAAATAGATACTTCCTCTCAAAGACCATCATAATCGATGATAAACATCTGAAAAGTTACTCAATAGCGTTGGTCACCAGAGAAATGAGTGTCTAATTATAATGAAATAGGCATCCCTGTTTTTAATTTACAAAGAATATACTTGGGCAAGGAGATGGCTCAGGAGGTGAAGCTGCTTACGGCCACGCCTGATGACCAGAGTTCAACCCCCAGATCATGCCCGGTGGAGAGAACCAGCTCTAAAAGGTTGTTCAATGACCTCCACACATCTACTGTGGCATGCCCATCCCCCTCCAGTCATAAAATGTAATTAAAAAAAATTTTAAACACCATGATACCCAAATGGTAAATATATGTAGTCATCGGGAATTTTTACAGCACTGTTTGAAACGTTAAACAGATTACCCGTTCTGCTTTACAAATATATCGATTTTTTGTTTGTTTTATGGTTTAAGCTTGTTTTCTCTTTTGGTTGTTATTTTTATAACTCAGATAACTGGAAATATATTTAAAGTTTAACATGTGTATACTCTGTGAACCTGAATTTCCAGTCTCCAGCATGTGCCTGACACAAATGAATGCTGTATAGAAGACATATGGAAGAATGTTGACAGCAATTTCACGAGGGACCGTCCAAAACCTGAAGCAAATGAGATGCCTGTCAAATGGTAAGCTGAGTGCATAAATTGTTAGTTATTTAATGAATATGCAGTAGTGAAGAATGAGCCACAGAGAACACAGGGAAGTCTCATCGATAGAAAAATGCTCACCCTCTGTTTCCCCATGTATAGTTCAGATACTGGTACAATTGATATATGAAGACTGAGATCTTAATATTGGTAACCCTGTAATATATAGAGTGGCAGGGACCATGGCTAAGCTAGGAATGTCTGGGTGACAGCTCTGTAGGTACACACACCCATCATTTTACATACAATAATAGACACTGTGAGATCAGAAAGGGCTCACATTATCAACAACAAACCTGGCCGTATATCCTGAATTTGTGTTCAAGAACATGTAAGTTCTCATACTGATGTCTTATACTGTTATAGTTTTGGGAATTCCCCTCCTCTACCAGAGAAAGCATGTGCGTGCGTGAGAACGCTTCATAGCCTAGCAGACAATGCAGGGCACGCACGCCCCGCAGGGCTGGTAAGAGGGAGGACAGCACTGATTCAGGAAGCCATCTAGCCCCCAGTACCCAGCAGAGGGTCAAACGAAGTTCAACAAATGTTTATTAACGACTGTTTTTTGATTTATTTAGTACCTCGCATGAACTTTATATCAAGCAGTGAGTGATTAGTAACTATTTCCCTAATATTGATCTCACAGTTATCCCGTCCTTACTCCCATACTTCAGATGGGAAACAAGAGTTTTTTTGCAGGATAGATTAAATCAGTCAGCAAAGCTGGGTGTGGTAGACCACGCCTATAACCCAAGCGGTTGGGAGGTGCACACAGGAGTAGCAGTTAAAGGTGAGCCAAGGCTACTTAGAGGCCAGTCTGAGGTTCAGGAGGCATTGTCTAAAAAAGCCAAAAACCAAACCAAAACAGCGTCTTGCAAGGCCTTCCGGATAGTTAAATGGTGAAGGAGATTTCTACTCATCAGCCTTAGTTCTGAAGCAGAGGCATCAACTACGTGCGGTTCTCCAGCCTGTGAGCAGTAACAAGCAGCAAAGCTCAGGAGGGCTGAGCTGCTGTGCTTTAGGCTTTGGTGATGGCTTCCCAGGGCCGCCAAGTGCACTCAGGTGGTCCCGCGGCCAGAGAATCAGCTGCTTCCTTTCCCCCAGGGCCACGACCTCACCTCCAGCCAATTTGCTCGAGGAATCAGAAAGATTTCCAAGGCCCACCTATGAGTTTTCCGACTTCACAAACACGGCGCGAGGCAGGCGTGGGCTTCCACTCCCAGCTCCCGGAAATCAGAGAGCACTGGGGCGAAGAGCCCCTAAAACTTTGAAAGAAGACGCGCCCGCCAGAGAGCAAGCGGGGGTAGAGGGGAGAACAGTCCAGGCAAGGGAAGGGCTAAAGGGGACTACAGAGAGGAGAGGAGAGGAGAGGACAGAGGGAAATTGTTCCCTCAACTCCAAAGTTAGTTCGGTGACCACAAAGCGCCTCTCTATTGCGCCTGCGCGATGCTGCCTCCTGGTCACCCCGCCCCTTTGCGCCGCCGGAGGTTTACTTGTCTCTCGGCAACCATTGACCGAGGAGCCAATCAGAAGGCGGCGTTCGTCCGGCCCCCCGCCGTCAGCGCGGGGCGCAAGGATCCCTCGGGGCCCGGGCCGGCGCGCCCCGCCCTGGCTCCCCCGGGAGGCCGGCCGCGGGGCGGGGGCAGGGGCGGGGAGGCGCGGGGGAGTGGTCAGGCCGGTTAAGATCGGAGGGGGCGGCGGCCGGACCGCTCACTCGCCGCAGCTGTCTGGGGGCCTCAGTCTCCGCACCGCTCCTTCTTGGGGCTGCCCAAGCCAACCACCTGCCTCAGTCACCTCCTCTTCCAAAGCCCAGGTGAGTCCACGCTCCCATCCTCGGCAAGTGGGAGGATGCTGCTGCGGACCTGGGGGTGAGGGGTTGGGGGGAACCGCGCACTCCCACTCCGGGGTGGGTCCCAGCAGAACCTGGTGGGATGCCCCGGGGATGGAGGCGAGATGCCGACAGGTGTCGGGACCCGTCCGGCTCCCGCGTCACTAGCGCAGACTTTCCTCTGTTAAGGAGCGCAAACTTTTCGGAGACTGTAGCCGGGCTTTGGGAAACTTGGACGAGTTCCTGTTGGCTCGGCGGCAGGAGTGTAGTTGGCCCTTTCCCTGCTCCTGCTAGTAGGTACTCCGGCTCTGAGCTGCCCCACTGTGGCGCGCACACTGAGCCCGGAACTCGGGCGATTTTGAACCCCGCGGTTTTGGCGGCGTAGATGAAGACGCAGCGGTCCGGGGCTAAAGCCTGGCTGGCGAGGGGAGGGCACTTTCCTGGGCTCGGTGCCCAGGATGGCGGCCGAGATCCTTCTCTCTTTGGGACTGTGGACACTGCGCGCGGTCAAATGATCGAAGCCGCGCGTCTCTCGGAAACTTCTCGAGATTACTGCGGCTGTGAAACCTGGTTCCTCCCCTTTGGGGATCGAAAGTCGCTTACTGCGTAGGCTGAAAGCCATGCAGTCAGTCAGTTGACTCTGATAGCGGTGCTGTTGGTGACTTAGAGGCGCGACTCCGGAATCGTCCTGGTCAGACGGCTCCTTTAGCGCAGTCTGCGAGGAGGGTGAGAGCCCTTCTCCATAGGAAGGAGTTGAGGAACTTGCAGTGCCAGCTGGTAGCCTTTACACCTAGCGCGGGCGGGCGCGCAGGCTACCTCAAAGTCCTGAAGGGCTGGTGAGGAAATGCCTAGTTGGGTTTTCAAGAACGCAAAAACTTCCACCGGCGTCGATTGTCATACCTAGGTAGTCTTGGCTCCTTTTCTCCCTTCTCTCCCTTTAATGTGGAGAAATCCTTCAGAGCCCCGACCAATTCCTAAGTCTTAGTCCCTCCTCCCCACCCCCACCCACCGCATTTGAGGATAAAGTGCTTACAACGAAAGACTTAATAGACTTACTGATTTATTAAGAATTATTTGAACTATGACGAGTTTGGTATTCTGGGAAGTAAAGTTAAGATGGTCAGATCCTCCTAAATTAAGCCCCCAGCTGCCCCCTTACCCTGGGAAGGAGGGTGACGGTGGCCATTGCTGGCTACAACAACTTCCACTGTAATTTGCTTGGCAAGGCATCGAGGGAGCCAGAAAGCTAGCCAGGCAGCCAAGAGGGTGGTAGGAGAGCTTACCAAGAATCCTACAGTGCTGGAAGTCACCAGAGGTGTGATTGTTTTCCCACATCTCTTACCGAGCAGTTGAAGGGTGTGGGGTGAGGAGTAAAGAAGGACCACTTTTCTCTCCCCACAGCAGCTGGACTGTGGACTGGTCCTGTCCTCTCCTGTCCTCTGCTGTCCTTGTTTGTGGGGATGAGCGCTTAGTATCCAGATTAGACAGCTGAAACAGTTTGGTTTTGGAGTTCACACATTAGCTTTTAGAAGGACGAGTTTGATGTGTGGAATAATTGTCCCAGTATCTGCACAGAATGTCGCTTACTGTCATTAAAATTGTGGGGTTGTTCAGCGATCTCTAGACTGTTACCAAGAGAAAGGTCCCAAAGTTTTATGAGTAACTTTAGTGTGTGCGCCTAGAACAAACAGTCACACTCTTTAGTCTGAGTTTCTCCCATAATACCTACCTTGTGTCTAGAGATTAAGTTTGTGAACTCAGAAGGGAGGACTTGGCTCTTGGCCTGTTGCTCTGAGTGTGAGTGGAGTGCCAAGGGCTCACTCTCCAGCTTTTTCAGCTCTGTTGAAAGTATGGCTACTATGCTTTCTGCAGGACTTCCAGCCTCTGCCATCCATTCCCAACCCCAGTGGTCTCCCAGTCAGGCACGAGCTTAACCCTCATGCCCCAGTGTCCAAGGCCAGGCAGATTATACTTGCCTTGCACTGTCCATCGGAAAGTCCAGGAACCACTCAGCAATGAAGGCAGTTTGAAAGGGGGCTGTTGTGCCTGTTGTACTATTAGCTGGGCTCAGCTGCCACAAAATTGGAAAGCTGTGTTGAATGTTTCCTTCCTTCCCTCCTTCCCTCCTTCCCTCCCTCCCTCCCTCCCAGCTCCATCCACTAAGTAGTACCTTGTCTTCATTGCTCTTCTAGGCTGTGCCGTCTTAGAGTCAGCCATGGAAGAAGGGCAGCCTGTGTTACTAAGAAAAGCTGTGGAAGCAGACAGAGATGTGTGGAGAGTTAAGATGATGTCTAGGGGTTTATCGCTTTTCCTGCTCTCCTGTACTTTCTCTCTCCCTCCTCTCTTTTCCTTCTCTTCCCCTCTTTCTCTCTCCCTTCTCTCTTTCTCTGTCTCCATCTCTCTGACAATCTCTCCCCGCCCCCTTCTCTATTTGGAGATTAATAGGGAGTGAGGCAGAATCTGAGGTGTTTCTTGGACTAAGACTGGTCTGATGTTTTTTCTCATTATTGAGGTAACAGGACAATATGGGGAGATGCCCTCTGCCATCCTGCTGTTTTGACTGTAACTGTTGAAACTGTATGATGATGACACCAGCTCCTCCATATTTAAAGAGGTGCTCATGAGTTTAAAGCTACTTGAGACAAAAGTAAAGCTGACCTCCTAATTTCCTGAACCTAAGGTTTCCCTCACCTTGTAACCTTTTGACTAGATGCATTCACTGAAAGGAAGCTTTGGCTTAGAGTTCAAAAGGTTTATAGAAAACATCTTTATATAACTCAACTTTGTAAGAGAATCTTCTGAACTGTTTCAAATTAATATTCTGTACAGCTGGGCCCTGGTAGCTTGCTCTTGAAGTGTTTGCAGAGCTTTTTGAAACAACAGGGGAAAAAAAGCCCTTAATATGAAGAAGTAATTACTGACATGAAGCAGCTCTGTGGTAGGGGTGTTCTGTGGTTTTAGAGCATTTTCCACTGTGGGTCCTTACATTGTGTGGTCCCTTTTTCTTGGATAATGGTGGCTGAGTCAAAAAGTGCTTCCTAGGTGGGGGTTGGTGCCAGGTGCCAGGGAGGCCAAAGGAATGGTGTGCAAAAGGCCTGTGGAGGAGCTTTAGAGCTGAGCTGGCCTAGCTTTATGATGTATTTGAAGAATTTGTTTTTCTCTCAGTTGTCCTTGCACATGGACCCCAGAAAAGTGGCGGTTTGTGGTCACTGCAGAGTCCTCAGCCTTGTCTAGAAAGCGCATGCATGTGTACATACATACGCCTATCATGTGAATGCACAGTCTGCTGGGGGCTGTCTGCTGTTCCTCATAGAGAAGGAAGCATGCTTGACATAGCCATCCTGCTGGATCAGGGGACCAGATGGAGCTTTCTACATCAGGAGCGCCTGGTTTAAAAGGCTGGCTGTTTTTTCTTGATTATCTTTTCAGTGAAGCCTCCACAGCCATAGGCTTGGAGCTGAAGAACAGTGCCTGCAAATTGATCAACAGCTGAACCGCCTAAGGTTGGCCAGCTTCTAGCCCCACCCCTGAGCACCTCCAGCCCCAGCTAGCTCACTCAGCCTTTCTCTCCCGTGTTCACTCAGCTGCTAGCTCTGCTGACTCTTTCGTTTTGACTTTTTTGTTTCTCACTGTCCTTGCTGACCTGGTTTGGAGGGGACTGTGGACAGGAGCTAGATGAGAGCGCCAGCCAGCCTCTCTGTCTCTGGCCAGTGCTCAGTCCTGTGTGCCTGGAGCATTAGGGTAAGCGCCCAGGAACTGCCCATCCCTGAGGACTCTGCCTTCCTCTGAGATTGTCATTTCCTGATGCTGTCCTTGCTCTCCCATGGGCAGGTCTTTCTTAATGTCCTTTGCTGTGCAAAATACAGACTTTGATATTTTGGAGAAAAAAATTGATCACAGCCCATTCCCCTCAGACCTGAGGGGAGTCACCTGAGGGCAGGCTCTGACTGATCTCTCATCTGAGAGGATGCCTCACCACACATCTCTCTACTCCAGTATGTTACCAGTTTTTTTGTTTTGCACATTTTCTTGTTTTTACTTTAATTTAAAAATTTTAATATTGAACTGAAGGGGTTTGTTGTTGTTTAGCCATCCCCCATTGTCTCTTCATCTGGCCCCTGTCACAAAAACTGAGTGAAGAAAATTATCCAGGGATCATAAACCATCTCCTCATCCCACCCAGTATCCCGTAGCTTCTATTCCACAATGGCCTTGCAGGATGAGGCCAGGTACCTTCTACATGGCCTGGCTGCCTGTCTCTGACCCTCCCTGACTCTGTTTGTCATAGTTAGACATAGTCAGGCATCAGGACTCAGCTGCCTGAGGCTCTAGTGCTAGCATGTGGACTACAGGGATATAGAGGAAAGAGTAGGATTAAGACACGCGGGTGTTTGCTCTGGGTTGCTCATCTAGAAGCCAGCACTGCTGCTGCTATGTCCTGTTCCAGACTGTTGTAGATGTTGTGCTTGCTTCCCTGCCTCTTGTAGGCTGCCCTTCACACCTGGGCACTGATCCTGGCAGAGCCCTGACTACTTCAGGCTTCCATTTCTTCATTGCCAATGATGTAGCAGATAGAATCACTGTTTTCTCAGAGACATATGGGACCAAAAGCCTGGTAAAGTTCATTTAAACAATAAATCAACTTGTCTGTTTGACTATGTTAATAATCAGTGCAATAACATGTAAAAGAGATATTTTCTATTCTTTCTTTATATCAAGTCCTTGGAGTACCAAGTCTATGCTGTATTTTGTATGCACTGCACACTTCTCTTTGGACTGTCTACCTTTCAAGAGCTTGTGGCTACTGTGTTGGGTGGTGTGAGTCTGGCCCATGTACACATGTATTTTACTCTCAAATCCTGGCTCTCTGTGTGTGAGAAGCAATAGTAAGCTATCCAGAGTTACTGGAGAGGGAGTATAGGCTGTATGCTGTGTGGGCAGGGATCTCTGTCTCCTGCCTTCAGGTCACTGACTCCTAGGAGAAT